TGCTGGAGATTTAGAAGGAGTTTCTTGTTCATTGGCTAATGTACAGGTATAAAGTTGTCCACTTTAGGTTGTCCAGTAGCCATCAACAATTTATTTGTCTGAACTTTTGGGTGTTATGATCCAGACATCCCTGAAGAAGCTATTATCACATGGAACCATATTGGTTGGTCATAGTTTACACAATGATCTTCGTGGTAAGCTACATCTTCTATCATAAGTGTCGGTTTTTTTTTATGAACATTTAAATCTTTGGTGCATATCTAGTGGTAACTGAAATAACATGATTTTATGATCATGTCTCTTTTTAGTACCCCAGGTTTTTATTTTATTTGTATTCCCTTTTCTCTCCGTTCTTAAGAGAATTACAACATGCTTTTTTCTCTGTTATGTCATTTTTAACAGCTTTGAAGATGGATCATGCAAGAGTGATTGACACATCATATGTATTCAAATATCAGGGTCAAGCTTTTAGTAGAAGACCTTCTTTAAGCAACTTGTGTAAGGTAAGCCATTTTCAAAAACATTAGGTACATCTTTCCATGCTGCAATCTGTTCACTCTGTTGAATGGTTGTTCATACCAACCCTTAAGATTCCAAATTTCCAATTATATTTTGGAATTTCAAAGTGCAGGCATGGCTTCAAATGCTTGTCTCTGCACACTCTAAAGAACTCTATTCTTTTTGTGTTGGTAAAAACAAGCGTGCTGCATTTATCAACAAATTCTTTTGTTTGTTTCTGTCGCTGTTATCCTTTTTCCAACTATGATTACGTTACAACTGGAAGATTTTAAGTTTATAACAAGTATTAAATTATTTATCACAAGCTCTGTTTGATTAATGCTATTGTTACTTACTATTGTTCCCAAATAGTCTGTTTTAGGGTTTGACCTTCGAAAGATAGGCTCTCCACATAATTGTCTAGATGATGCGATTACTGCAATGAAACTTGTTCTTGCCAAGCTTGAATGTGGAGGTGATAATATCATACCATTGGTTTGTGAGGAGGTAATGTCTAGATCCTTTTATTTTAAATTTTAGTTCCTTATTTGCTGATTGATAAGATGGTCGTCTACTCCAATAATTTAGGCGCAGGAGCCCGCGATGTCAAAGCTACTTGTCCACAGAATACCTGCGGCTGTTCATAGTCAAGAGTTGCACAAAGTTATTCCTGGCGACTTTACTGTGGAAGTTAAGGTTAGGAGAATCTTATGCTTTTCTCATCTCATATCAATGATGAATGACATAAGAATCACATGCCTTAGTGAACCCGTGTCAAACTGGTATGACATGGGTATTCATGCTTTGTGCTAATTCTTCAAATACATCATTATTTGCAAGAAGCTACTCATGTACATTCATATGTTAACAGTTATCCACACGTGATACGTGCTTGTAAACAAGTCCATTGACATGAATCATTGCCAACATTATTAAAAAGCCATAGCAACTACTTGATGCAAGTGAAAGACAATATTGTTAAAGGCTAAAACATGATAAAACACTTGTTCTGACAGTTGAGACTGGAATGCTAAGCGCAATGAAAGCATGGGACCAACAATTTAAGAATTAAGAGTCAGTATTGTTTTTCTTTAGAAAAAGGTAACAGTAAGCAAGATTTTTGCACGTGAATGATGTTTGAGTAACAATCTGTACGGTTCTTCATCACTTTCTAGTTTGAACTTTGCTCGATGATACTTAGTTTTTCCATCTATGATCTGCTGGCAGGCTAATAAAAAAGGGCAAGCAGACAAGTATTCTGCTTTGATCAACTTCAAAACTCAGCACGAGGCGAATGAGGCATTCGATAAACTTGAAGGCAACCAAGAGAAGGTTGGTATACTATCAGAGAAACCAAGTGTGCACACGGCATATGTACTAATTTAACTGACATTATCATAACTTTTGTTTATCCGTCTTTGTTAGGATATTGGTGGACGACCACAGAAGCTCGTTTCATTTCATCTTGATTCTGGTGTATTAGGGTCTTGTTATGTTCGTAAGATGGATGCCAATAATGATTCTAAAGATAAAGAGGTCACGCCAAAGAAGAGGTCACTTGAAGATGAAGAGGCCATTGTAGAGTCAAAGAAACCAAAAACAGAAGACCAATGTAAAGAACTCAAGAAGGCTGCTGGTGCAGGTTGTAATCAGTGTGAAACTCATTCGATGGAGATTGAGAAACTAAAGAAAGATTTAGCCCACAGAGACGAAGAGATCTCCGCGTTGAACAAAATCATCGTTAACCTTGTGAGGAAACAAGGATTTTAACTCTTCCGTAGATTTAACCCGTCTTTTATTATTGATGTATTCATTTTCTTGTATCCTGTATTTGGTTGGCGGCGAAAGAATTTGACTATAATTAAGCATCCTATAATACTCTTTTCAATGTTTACTTTATTGCCGCGAAACTGTTTTAAGAACATTCTAGCAAAAAGCCAAGATGCCTTCCAGAAGATGTTTTGAAGCTTCTGGAATATTCGAGTCTCAATCTGGAAAATTCAGCTTCTACCTCAAATAGTCGAAAATCTAATCGTTTCTCATTGAATTTTACAAAATCGTTAGCTATCAAAACTGATCAAAGTTAACAATGGAGAATCTCTTCAATTGGTCCCAGCCAGCTCGCCGTCGCTATTCCTCGAGAGGAAAACCAGTACAATCGGTCCACGAGAAATCTGCCGGAATAAAGCCGGCAACGAAGGTCGTTCAGATTCCGGTCCACTCCGTCAGTTCCGATCCAGATCGGTCACAGAAACCTGATGAGTTGGCGCAGGCGGAGGCGCCTGATAGAAGATCTGCTTCAGCGTTAAGGATCCAGAAGGTATTTCGTGGTTATATGGTGAGGAAAAACGTGAAGAGAATTATGTCAATACGAAGAGAGGTGGATGAGATTGAACGGAAGCTTTTATTCGGCGAAACGGCGGAGTTGATTCGGAGAGACGAAAGGGAAAGGGTACGGGTGAATGAAACGTTAATGTCTCTGCTTTTCAAGCTGGACTCCATTCGTGGAATTGATTCTGGTGTTAGAGAGTGCAGAAAGGGTGTAATTAAGAAGGCCATATCCTTGCAAGAAAACGTTGACTCCATTGTTTCCGGCAGCTAATTAAAATTATTACCAAATAGAGTGTGCGCAGATCATACTCTCGCCTCGTGGTATAGATCTTTCGTGGAAAATAATTTCATGTGTAACTTTTGTCGTGTATTTTCGTAAACGATATAAAATTGAATAAATAGACAGTAATATTATTTATAAATATTGTTGACTCCCAAAAGTTCTCCAAATACAACTTTTTATACCTACTTTATAATAATAAAACATATAAACTTCCAGTTAAGTGGCTACTACATTCGGTCACTAGAGCTTCCCAAGCCTATAGCAACAAGGCCTATTTTTGTTAAGTAAAAAACTGTTTTCCATAGAGAAAAGTGGGTCTTAATTAGTACTACTAGTCTAGTTTCACGTTTCAAAATGTGATATAACAGATGAAGCGTTGTATTCTGAATGATAGCTTTCGAATATAGCTTACATGATGTAAATTGCTCTTAAATATGGCCTTGTGACGCGAATTTAAATAATTAAATTTCAATTTAAATTTATATCAAAACATCTAATGAAAAAACTAATTTTTTCGATATATAAAAAGTTAAACTAAATCAAAATCTTAAAAGATTCTTCAAAGCCAACCAAGGTTGACTAAAATAGGCTGATTAATTTGACAATAGTCTATACACTTTCTCGTAATTTTCCGTGCCTCCTTTTATCCTACACAAAATGCCAAATAGAATGTTACAAAAAGAAGTGTGATGTTACATAGTTTGAGTAAAAAAGAATTGAATTAATACAAACTGTAGAAAAGATAAATTAAATATATATTAAAAAAAAATCAAAAGTTATACTTTAATATATAATTAAAAATAATTAATACAAGCACATATAATTATAAAGTAGAGTGATAAAAATTTATTCAAATTTTTTTATATATTTATTTTTTTCATATTTTAACTCGTTAATAAAATTTCTGACTGTTATACACGTCAAAAAATAAACACAATATGCATGTTATCCTTTTAGTATATGTATCTATCCAACACAAATGGTCGTACTCGAATTTTCAAGACCCTACAAATCTTGAAATTAGCCAAAAAATTGTGTTTATTTTAGAGGATTATTATAAAGTTTATGGACACCTTAATTATTAGTGGGACATTAACATTTGATCCTTCTGATGTATGATCAAACACGTTTAATTATAAATTATTGTAATTATATTATATACTTGACTCCCTCCTTAGCTGGCAAGTTTAATTTAACAGATCTGATTAGTTAATAATACTTAAAATATGTTAGATTCATGATAATATAAATATTGGAGAGACGAACACCGTATCATCAGAATATTATTTAATAAAATCTAAAATCAGAATTATGAATAAATAAATAGCAATGTTGCATTTTCCCTTGTTTTATTCTTAGCCTATAAATTAAAACTCAATGTGATGATTGCTACTCTCTTTATTCCTTTATACTTTTAATTAATTATTTTTTTTAAAAAAATAATTTTTTTAAATTTTCTTATTCATTTTATAATTAATAGAAATAAAATAATAAGTTCGCGATGTTAATTATTTTTTTTTGATAGATATGTCAGTGCAAAAGTAGACAAGTAATTAAAGATTATGTAAATAGTTAATCAAGAATTTTTCAAAAACAATCTCTCTATTTTCACAATTATAACTTTTCCAAATCTATAGAGTGAAATTTTATCGAGTATATTATTGTAATAGTACGTCATAAAAGTTAAAAAAAGAGTCGGGAGAATAATCTAAATCTCTAACTTATTTAATATAAATAGAGTGATATTATGTCGAAGCAAAGGAACTTGTTCTTTTGATGAAGTTTTCGTACTCTTTGACTAATTTAAACTTATCTTACTTATATTACATTGTCTACTATTATGTTACGAAGAAAACAATTCAAGAGTTATACCGTTGGATCTACGAGGATAGTTAACAATAGGCTAGCTGATGAAACAACAGTTGTAAGATACACTTAGCATTTTACATTATTGAACTGCGAAATACAAATGAATACAAAAATATAAATGAAAAAGACAGATGCCATTGCTAAGTAACTAACTGCTTACTGTAAATGGCTTAATCCCATAGCTGAACTGTTCATCGAAGCAAACTTAACAATCTCTTGTGGCAAAAACTGGCAATTCCCTTCATGTTTAATTCCCAAAAAATCTCTTGTTAAACAATTATCCATACCGTTCATTGAAACTGCTTGAGTATTATGCATACCAACTGTTTGCATAATTGCCTCATCCAAATTAATCGACTTATTAATCCCTGAAGAAGTGAAATTCGGACACCCAAATAGCCCGTTGTTGCTCTGTAACAACGAAGTTGTGTAATCTTCAGATTTCTTGGCGAAAATTTGATCTGTTGTTTCACAACTCTGTAAACTGGTAAAAGTTGGTGTATTTGGGGAAGATGAAGAAGAAGAGTTCAGTTTGCTGAAATTGTTGCTAAAGAAAGTTGATTGATTGCTTTTTGTAGAGCCCATTTGTGCTGCTTTCTGTAGAAGTGCAGTAGCAGACATTGGTGTGGTCGAATTTTGTTTGGTTAATTGGCTGTTTTGACTATCGGAATACAGAGAATTGTATGCTTCAGCTATTGAAAAGTTTGCAGATGTCGAATTAGATGATCCAAATACATTTTGAGATTGCATTTGGATCATTTCTTGGAAACCCCCTGTGCTTGAACTGTCAAAAAGATTCGAACTTGAAGATATTTGAAGAGGATTATTATGATTAGCAGCTTGTTGATCTAACCATAGTGATAATCTTGGTTTTTGCTGCTGCTGCTGATGAAGTGAATTGTTATTACCAGTTGTGTAACTACCAAAATCTGGTCTACATCCTGCGAATCCGCCATGTAAATTTGCTTGTTGTTGGTTCAATAAAGTTGCAGTATTTGGGAAGTTGATCAAATTGGTAGCCCCAACTGATGTGATTCTTGAACTCTCCTCAGCTAAAGCATCACAGAAAGCTCTGTGTGTGATAAAACTATCCTTTCTGCCATAGAAGAATACATTTAATCCCAATAGTAAAATGGTTGAAATCGAAAGAGAAGAGTATTTATTTTTACTTCAATGAATGGATGAGCATTTATTGTACTTGAAACAAATATTCTCCAACCAAAAAACATGTAACTAGAAACTAAAAAAATACCTTGAAAAGAGTGTGCCACAGTCACATTTGTACTCTCTAGTTCCACAAGTTTTACTATGAGCTTTCCAATCTGATTGAACTGCATATTTCTTTGAACATTTTTCACATTTCCACTTCTTTTCTCCATGTTTTCTACTAAAATGTTTCTTAATTCCAGTTAGGTCGCCAAGTGCACGCGATGGATCGTGGTGAATACATGTCTTTTCTGGACATATATACACTTTCTTCTTCACTTGTTCTAGCTTGTTTCTTTGCTTTAGCTTCCATGGAAGATTGTGTCCTCTTCTATGAAGTTGCAAATTTTGGTCCCTTTGAAAACCCTTATTGCAAATCTCACATATGAATCTGTTTGTTGCCATGAGTGACTTTGGTGAAAGTGCAATAACTTCAGCATCTGGATCTGTGATTCAACATATAAAAACATGCAGTTCAGAGACGAGACGGATACAAGATTTGACCTTTATGTATTCAAGATTCAAAAATACAGTATTAAACGCATCTGTTATGGTTATCTCATAGAAATTTAAAGCAGATACAAGATTTGACCTTTACAATGAAATTTAAGATTCCTAGTACATAACAGAACATGACTTCATCAAAACATGGTCTAAATCAACCCCTTGACATCATCTGACGCATCTGTTATGGTTATCTCATATCCCTTTTTTTCTTTTTCGTATGATTTTGCTTACTATACACGACATGCAAATCGAGTTATGTATAACACTATATAGCAATAAATTATATACCTGGTGTTCCTGGAAGATTTCTTCTTTTTTTGGAAGAAGTATTAGGTTTAGGGTTAGGGTTTGCTGTTTGAAGTTCTTGATGATGATGAGGAAGTACTGCTTTAACAGAAGAAGGAAATGAAAACACATCTCCAGACATCATTTTTTTGTTAATGTTTTGGTTTTGTGTCTAAGCTACAAAACAAAGTTTGTATTTTTTTCCAAATACAAACAGTTAAGAAAACCTTGGTAGTATTCAAATCTTACAAGTTCTTTTGTTTTTGGTTTTAGATTGTGCCAAAAGAACACAAACATAAGTAGTAGTAGTAGTAGTAGCACACAATAACAAACACAAAGAAAAACACAAAGGTTGTGTAAATTTTACAAACACATGAAGAGAAATACAATATTTTCTTGGGAATTTTTTTTGTTTGATTTCAAAAGAAAACACCAAAAAAGAATGACCAACTTGAAAGCTAAAGAGAATATTTTCCTCTCTTTTTCTATACAACTCTCTTTTCAACTTTATCTCAACCTTTTATTTTTTCAAAGTCGGTCAGCCATAGATTTAGCAGCTGGGGCCATTTATATTACCGCCTCCGTTTCAATCTGTTTGTCCAGTTTTGATTTTGCATGAAGTTTAAACGAATAAAAGAAATTTTTAAATTTTGTAATTTAAGCTGAAAATAGATAGAACGTATCAATATGCTCTTTAATCTTGTGACCATAAACATATCTGGTAGAAAAATTCAATTTAAAGAGTTGTCAAGAGAAACGACATTATTTTTTAAACATATAAAAAAAAACAAATTAAAACGGAAGGAGTGTAAATTTTATTTTATATATCGACAATGTAAAATTTTCTTACATTATAGTTTAACTTATTATGATAAATTTATTACTTCTTATATCTTAATTTATATTGTATAAGATGAAATTTCGAAATTCAAACTTTCTTTTTAACTTTTGATTGTGTGAATTTATTTGTGTATTTATCAATTACATAAAAATAATATATGTTTTGACCTAGCTACATATCTTACCGTGTTTTATATATATGTATTGGCTGTATGCTGCTTGTGACGAGAATGTGTAGAGCTGTGTGTCATTTGTAGTCTTTCGAGCTAAAATATTCCTATTATCAAAGTAGCGACCAACCATAATTTATATAATTTCATTGTTGTTTTTAATGAGAAATGTGGAGAAAATTATATTTTGGAATATTTTACCCCTTCATATATATATATATATATGTTATCGAAATGATTTTAGTGTGTGCAAAAACAATTGTTTATCTCGTGTATATTATATATGTATTTGAAATATTTTTTTAATGTGTAGATAATTTTACTTTTTTATACATATCACGTAATTCAAATAATTTTCAAGCCATGCAAATAAAATCATATTAATTTAACTAACAACTTATATTAAAACATAAAAAACAACCAACTAGGATCGCGAGAGTCTGATAACTATTCTTCTATTCTTAATTAGAAAATTTAAATTTAAATTTTGTTGTACGTAGAATAAAGAAAAAGAACATAAAAGATGAAATCTTTCGTTCGTAACTAAAAAAGTGGAGGGAAAGATATAAATTAATAGGATTTAATTTACTACTCACTCTGTCGACTTTTATTTATCATGTTATATTTTTTAAAAATTAACCTGACTAATTTTCAAAATTAAATGAGATTACATTAATTGAATATTTTAAATAAAAATTTTAGATATTTAAAAACTATGCAAATAGAATTATAAATTGATTTTTTCTTTTACATATTAATGTGATGAAAAAATCTCATAAAATATTGATTAATTCTTTTTATAATTTTTTAAAAAGAAAACTGTGACAATTAAAAATAAATCGAACAAGTAGTACAACTTATTTTACAAACCAAAAAGAAATTACTCTTGGAATTGGAAGTGAAAAAGTGAAAAGTAGAAAAGTTAGAGACCTTTTGCATTACTTGTTCCAATATAATGTTGAGGACATGAGGAATAAAATGATTACAAAATAATTAATTAAATTTGGACCCACATGTGTCTGATTTAAAAAAATTAGGGGACCAGTTCTGTTGTTTTTGTAATTCCCAAGGACTAGTCCGTGAATCTCTGATACTCTTCTCGTCACGTGTGTCACTGTTCACTCAGCGTGTGGGGTTACTTCCCATTTTCATCGAGTATTCGATATTCGTTTTGAATTTAACTAATTTAAATTTATTTTACTTTAATCGAATTGAATTCAAATTATGAAGTTGTATATTTGAAGTAATGTATTCTTTTTTTTTATATTTAAATTAGAAATATATTATATGACATGGTTGGTGATATAGGTTATTTGTTCTAGTTTTATATATTCTCAGCGGTTTAAAATATGTATTACTATAATAATAAATATAAATATGATTTTAAAAATCAAAAGTTAATATTTTTTTGCTTACTCTTCATGATTTAAAAGGTCTGAACGAAAAGAGGAACTAAGATTAGGTGTGTGTAGAGGTTTTAAATCAATTTATTTAAGGGTTCACTAATTAATATACATAAACTTTAATAAGTTTCTAATATAAATATAAAACTAGTGAATTCGTTCAAATTCATTGAATCTCCATCTATAAGGACTCAACAAATCGAACAATTATTATACAATAATACTTACATAACTGTATATATATCGTAAAATTAAACGTAAGAGAAAATTCTAATTGCAGATACATAGGTGCATGTACAAAGAATCATATGTTTTTATGCATGGACTTTGTAAATTATGACGGTTTAATAGAGATCATTAATTTTTTATGATGAAATTATATATAACATAAATTTAAATTAGTTAAACGTTGAACTTAGATATAAATTTCAATTATTTTCCAATATTAAAAGAAAAAGAAAAATTTATATATGATTGAGTCATCGACGATTACGACCATTCAAAGACATTTTTTTCATTAGCTGGAGTACTACATAAAGTTGGAACACACGAGAGTGAGTTGCATGTGAAGAAATCTTAAATTCATATACATAACACATGTTTTATAATAATAATAATAATAATAATAATAATAGTAATAGTAATAATAATAAAAAAAAGAATCAAATTTGTTAGCTATCATTTTCAAAATACTATTTTTTTTTTCATTTTTATACATGATAGCCTTTTTGAAAATAACTTCTTCTTTTAAATTTGTCATCACTCACTTTTTTCTGCTTGCTAGTTGGCCATTTTTTCTATTTTCTTACTGCAGAATTATACCAGATTTGAAATAAATAATTGTGACATCAAATAGTTGGTGTTTTTTATATTGAAAAATTATATATATATATATATATATATATATATATACGCTTCGTTCGATTAATTTACCTATAAATAGACATATATTTTGTAAATTTAGTGAGTGATGATAAAAACTCGTAATATTCTTTTTATTATTTGTTATATACTCGCACGATTAGCCCATATATACGTAGCTTGTCCCAAAAATATCAAGCAAACACTAATTTTAGTACACATTTTCAATCTTTTAATTCTTTTTTTTTCTGGACGTGACAATTTTCACATGACTAGTCTTCAAATATTTATTTTGAAATTATTTAATTTAAGAATTTTGTCGTGTCCAATTTCGTCAATCATGTTGTAATTTTTATATTATTGTACCTTTGAAAATGAGTGAAACATATATATTATATAGTCTCCATCATGATCTTTGAGAAATGTACTCTGATATATATAAGGAATATTTGATTGCAAGTCTAGTTACTCCTTATGTCCATTTTAACTGTTGTTTATAACCAAAAAAACTTATTCATATCAGGTGTTTATCCCAAAATTCGTTATTATGTTATTTAATGAACTAAAATATATGTTAATTAATTAAGATTGAGCAAAATGAGCTGTAAATTTAAACACATGACGTGCATGTATTGAATTTGATGTAAACACCTGACGCGGATAAATTTCACCCGTTTATAACCTTTTCATTTTTTTTATGTCTATTAAAAAAAATACTTCACAAGTACAAGGTGTATATAGTTTACTAAATTATTGTAGATTGATTAATTTCTTTTTTTTTTTAATTTGGCGAATTAAATTTCTAAAGTGATAATTATTTTGAAATGAAACGAAATTTAATGATTTGTTTGGTAAAGTTGCTAGGTCATTTTATTTTTCTTTGCTTGGTTTCTCCGGGTGGGAATTATTTAAGTCTAATTTAAGTTGAGGAATAAAATACTCTTTAAAGAGCGATTCATTTCCCATCCAAATTTTTTAATCAGTGAAGAAGTCAGAAATTTCATAAAAGGTGTTTAGAAATATTAGTTTGTTATATTAAAAGTATCCAAAATATATATAATTTAATCAATTTACTTATATATATACTATTTTTTTCTGACAAAAAATGTCCAATTAGACACCCTTATCACTATACGGCTACGCCACTATTTCTAATCAAATAATGAAAAAATATTTATTGGCATTGCCCACCCCAATCTTTCATATTCACCCTATGTTTAACCACTAAAAAACGATGGAAGAAGAAAGCTTGATAACATGGCAACAATTCAATTAAAGTGGTCCTTACCCTAGAATTATTTTACAATTAAAATAAGGGACACAATTACACAAGATAATGTTATATACATAAAAGTTTATGATTTGTTTCGAATTATAATATACGAATTCTCATTCATTTTTCACTTAATCAACTTGTAATTAGAAAGAAAATATATATATGATAGGAAATAAACTTGAGGTAAAATTCAAGAAAATCTATTAATTATTCTAGGTGAAGAACCTATTATTATTTTTCTTACCGCTTCAATCAAAATATTTATATTTAGAAATAACAAATAAACATTTTCTTTGTAAAAAAAATTCAAACGAAAAAATAATAATTTTTTGATAGAGTCGATGTGTGGGGCTAGGGGTGAGATGGATTAGATTAAACGTACGATAACATCCATGCAAATTAACATATTGCAAGAATTATTGCGTGTGGGACATGATTTGGTTAAAGATCTCAATTTTTATATTATATTTAATGTTATTAAAAGTAGTTTAATTAAATTGGCCTTTACTTTACTTTTTCCTTAAATTAAAAAACATATTGCAAGAATTATTATAAGTTAGAAACTTGAAGATCATCTTTTCATAAAAAAAAATAAATCAATCTTTTCATCTTATTACCTCATTTAACTTTCGAGAATTAAATTTTTAATTTTAATTATATTTAAAAATAAAATTTAATATTTAAAAAATTAGTTAAAAATCTATAAGTCACAATAATTAATTATTTAAAATGAGTTAATCTATAAGTTCTTTCTCTTTTTTTTCCATAATTAATTTATTAATTTTTTGAAGTAAAAGGCAAATGGCTTTTTCAAATTCAAATTAAATAAAAGAGTGAGCAAACACAATGCACGTTCCCCAAAAGCCAAACATTTCTAACTTTTTTGGGGACTAACCAACACATGGGGTTGTCTTGCTACAACTCTATGGGATCCAATGCTATTATTATATACTCCAAATATATTTGTACAAAAACAAAAATTCCATTATATACAAAAAAAAAAAAAGAGTTAGTTACGTTAAAATAAGATCATTTTCGAAGTTACGACGAAAAGTGTTCATATTAATATGTTTAATAAACTATCTCAAGTTTTGAATCATCTTGATTTCTTTTCGAATCAATATAGTTTTTAGGTTATTTATTATTTTAATCTTAGAATATAAGGATTGCATTGCCATTTTTATTACGTGAAATGATTATTTATTTTAGTATAACACGTAAAGTATATGACAAAAATACGAAAATCAACGTTCAGTCTAAATAATTATTAACATTTCTTAATGCTATAGCTTCATTAACGGACGTTTATCTTGATTGCATTTCAATTTTTGGCCAATTACATGCAAAAAGTAAAATAATTATTAAATTAAAGTTTCTCACTACAATATATTTTTTATATAAACTCTAACGAAGTCTAATGTAAATATATGAAATAAATATTAAAAATTTATATAGATATTGTGTATCCTAACTCTCAAACGCCCACCGTGGGGCTCGAACCCACGACCACAAGGTTAAGAGCCTTGCGCTCTACCAACTGAGCTAGACGGGCTTGTTGGTGTTTTTAACATATATAAAAGATATCTACTGAATCTTACCATAGGATCCAGCGAAAAGGTTGCCAAGTACAAACATGTATTGGAACATTGATTTTTTTCGAGTCAAGAATCAATTGAAAATAACTATTCTATCCGATAAAGGTAAAGGATAAAGTCTGCAAACATTCGATACATTGTTTAATCTGGAACCTCCCTCCATTCTTCCTTTTTGTTTCTACTTCATACCTTGGAAGGAATTGTGTTTGTTTGTATGCGTAATTTCAATTATCCATTTCAATACAATATGAGCTCATTAGATTGGTGTATTTGCAAAGGCTTTCTAGTTGGTTGCTTTTTTTGGGTCCAATAACTAATTGTGTGACATCCGATAAATATCGACATTGGGCCATAACATAGATCCAACAACAATATCTTCATAGTTTTACTTCTTCAAGACACAGCATTTGATGAAAGTTACGATAAATCTATTTAGCGACGGATTAGATCACAAAGTTATGATAGCTACGACCAAATTAGCAATGAATTGACAGCTAATTCCAATTTTCTTTTTGTTATAGTGAACTATTGAGTTGAAGCTTCATAGAAACTTAAAACTGCATCTTTACATCTAAACAAAATAGTAAGTTGGAGTTTGAACTCAATCTACATATGTTTTTACTCCACATATTTTTCGTCTAAAAATTAATATAAAGTAATTCAAAAACAGCAGAAAAAATTGACCAAGAGAGGCCCAAAAGAAGTAGTGAAATTTATCTAGGATCACACAAATATAAATAAGTATTACATATTCGTTCACTCATTGATACAAGTTCATATAACATTAGGTTCATTCTCATGTTTACAAACATTTAACTCTTTTTCCTCAATTACCAAAAAGAATACAAATGATAGATTCAACAACAACAACAAATTACAAAGTAATGAATTAAGAACGTACATGCACCAAGTTAATTGTGGTAATACAATTGACAATGGTACTAGGGGTTGAGTAATCTTAAGCTTTATGGGCCAAACACGGGTAGGAATGGATCACTAATGGGAACCGGAGGATGAGGTGGAGGTGGAGGAGGAGGAGAATCTGAAATCAAGAATGGTGATGGTGGTGGAGGAGGACTAAAAACTTTGGGTGGAGGAGGAGGAGGAGGACTCTTCGTGACCATAGGGGGAGGAGGACTAAAAACTTTGGGAGGTGGAGGAGGAGGACTCTTCGTGATCATAGGGGGAGGAGGACTAAAAACTTTGGGAGGTGGAGGAGGAGGACTCTT